CCATGTGGGCCGGCGAGCTGGTTCCTCCCGGGCCAGCGGGTCCTGGCGCCTGTCCGCGAGTCCCGCCAGGGCCCATCATCCCGGGCCGCGGTCCTCGGGGGACCCCCATGCCGTTCATCTGTAATCCACGTGGTCCGAGGGGCCCCATCCCCGGGGGCATCCCGCGAGGGCCGGGGGGCATGCCGCGGGGAGGCCCTCCTGGGCCCATACCCGGCGGCATTCCTCGTATTCCGGGTCGCGGGCCCCTTGGTCCCATTGGTCCGGGCATGCCGGGGGGGCCCGGGGGTCTTGGTCCCATGCCCGGCCCCGGCGGCCGGTTCATGCCGGGGCCCCCGGGGCCGTTCAGCCCCATGGGTCCTCCGGCGACGTTGGGTCCGGGCGGCCCCCCGGGCATCCCCGCTCCGCCCGGACCCATCGGACCCACGGGCCCTGCCGGCCCGCCTGGCCCGCCTGGTCCGATTGGCCCGCCTGGTCCGCCTGGCCCGCCTGGTCCGCCTGGGCCGCCGGGCCCGATCGCCGTCCCGGGCCCCATCGCGCCGCCTGGGGCCATGGGGCCACCTGGCCCGACCGAACCACCTGAGGCTCCCGGAACACTATGCATATTCATCCCGAGGCCCGTGTTAGTTCCCGGAGGCCGAGGTCCTGTCATACCAGGCATTGGTGCACGAGGTCCGCCAGGCGCCCCCATCCTTGGGAGGCCTGGGCCTTGAGGGCGGGCCACTCCTGGCACACTGGTGCCAGTCGCTGTGCCTGACGTGGGCTCCTCGTTGCCCACGAGGGCGTTCAGCATTTTGTTGGCGAAGCTGAACATGTTTCAGAATCAACCTTTTTCTACTTCTCACTTTCAAACATCACAACATTTCACTGCGAAGTGCACACAATGCGGATGACGGGACCAGTTTTGGCTGAGCGCTGGTCTGCTTCCAGCTCCTAAGCGGGCGGCTCTTGCGACGGCCTCTTGGATCAATATGGCGGCGGACGAGGCCACAGCGTGCGCGGGGGAGACACCGTCCCTGCGCGACATTGATCCCGACTTCCCTAACACACGTTCATCATCTAACAACACACGCCCACTCCACACGAGTAAACGAATTTCATTCAGTTTTTCAGCCGAAACTGACACAGGCCAGCCAATAAAGGCACGATCGTTGCCAGGTGACAGCGCTCGAATTCCCCCTGGCGGAAGGATTAAGAAGGACCGCTTATTATTCCGTACAAACAAATGGACACGGCGCACAGACAGGCCCACAGACAAAGTCGCTTTCACGCCCAGACAGACAGAAGGGAAAAAAGGAAAACAACAAAGAAACGCTCCACATTAGGCATATATCCGGCCAGCCATACATAACCATGTATACACACATGGACGCTCTTACCCACACACCCATACTCATATACATAAATAGATACATATATATATATATATGTGTGTGTGTATGTGTTTATATGTATATATGGATAGATAGATATATAGAGAGATACACACACATATATATACACACATACATATGTGTATATATATATGTAGATGTATATATATATGCACACACACACACACATACACACACACACACATACACACACACACACATACACACACACACACACACACACACACACACAAGCACATACACACACACACACACACACACACACACACACATATATATATATATATATATATATATATATATATACATATATATATATTTATAGGTGTGTGTGTGCGTGATACACATCCACAATGCAATCGATCAGAAATACACGCATGCATTCACCCTGACCTATACAAACGGATTCAAACTCACAGACAATGACAAAATATTCATACATGAATAAACACACGCATATACACAACATTTCATAAATACATACACATATACACACATACAGCACATAATGATAATGGTGAAGATATATTAATGTTAATAGTGACGATGATGCTGAAAGCAATCTAATGATAATGATGGTGATGTTGAGGATGATGATAATGATCATAACAATAACAGAAGAAATAATAATGATAAGGATGATGATGGTAGTGAAAAATATAATAAAAATGATAACGATAATGATAACAATAATGATATTATAAATAACAGCAAATGTGATGATGATAATGATAATGATAATAGTAGTAATAAGAATGATGATGATGATGATGATAATGATAATAATAATAACAAATAAAAAATTGTAGTAATAATGATAATATTGATAGTATTGATAGAAATGATAATAATAATAATAATAATAATGATAATAGCAATAACAATGGTTGTGGTAATAATAGTAATAATAAAAAGAAACAATAACAGTAATTCATACTGCGAATGCCAATAGCAATGCGAATAACGTGCAAGAGGGCTGTTGTTGCAAGCAAAACCGCAAACACACACACTACACACACAGACACCACACACATACACACACACACGCGCGCACACACACACACACACACACACACTACACACACACACACACAAACACGCACACACACTACACTACATTACACTACTCTACACACTTTCACACACTACACTACACAACACACACACTCACACACACACACAAACACTACGCTACACTACACTACTCTCCACACACACACACACACACTACACACACGCACACACACACACACACTCTCACACGCACACACTACACTACACTACTCTCCACACACACACACACACACACACAAACACACACACTACACACACACACACACACACTATACTACACACACAACCACAAGGAGGAAGCCTAAAAACGACAGTGATTTACAACATTCAGACGAACCGAGCGCAGAACAGTGTGACAGACGCCGGGAAAGCGAGTACATTTAAGAACGGTGATGTTCTCGGGTCAGTTGTACAGGTGACGTACATAGATTAAGGGATAGAGTTCGATAGGGGAGAAAGTCAGGAGGAGAGGAGAGGAGAGGAGAGGAGGGGGGAGGGGGGAGGACGAGGAGGAGTGGATACGGTTAACACACAGTCTGTTATCACTTTCTCTCAGCTTTTCTCTCTCTCTCTCTCTCTCTCTCACTCTCTTTCACTCTCTTTCACCGAGAAAGATTATTTAAAACGAAAGAAAGATGCACCCGGAGATTTTTATTTAACGATTCAGAAAGAGTGAAAGGAAAGAGAGAAAGATAAAACAAAAGGAGAGAGAGAAAAGAAGCAATTTAACGAGGCAGGTTGAACATTTTTTCCCCGAGAGATTTCGCAAATAGGGAAGGGTAAGAATGAAAACACAGAAGGATGAATGTTAACCCTTTATACAACAACGTTTCTAAGATATAATTTCCCCAGAGTTTGAGGGAAAGGGAATGTGAAAAGGATACGAGGAAGAGAGAAAGAAAGAAAGAAAAAAATATAAAGATAGATAGATAGATAGATATAGATATAAATGTATATATATAATCCTTTCGTCGTTCAACTGTATCTCCCATCCTCTTCCCCGGCCACACACATGAGAATTTCGAAAAAGACAGATAAAAAAAATATATATAAAATAAAAATAGATATCAACTCCTTTACAATGACCATTTTATGACCCTTCTCAACCCCCCTACCCCCTCCCCCCCTCGCCCCTCCTCCTCAAGGACCTCGAACCCGACCGAAGCTGAGAAGGATAAGACACACGGGCTGTGGAATCTTTCACATGTGAGGGAGTCCTATTTTGGCCTGAGATCCTATCGCCTGGACGAGACCATTGGCTGCGTCATTGCTGGCATGTAAATGGTGTTTCACTCTCTCTCTCACTCTCATTCTCAATCTCTCTCTGTCTCTCTCTTTCTCTCTCCCTCTCATTCTCATTCTCAATCTCTCTCTCTCTCTCTCTCTGTCCCTATCATTTTCTTTTTCTCTCACTCTCTCTCCGTGTCTCTTTCTCTCTCGCTCTCTCTCGCTCTCTCTCTCTCTCTCTCTCGCTCGCTCTCGCTCTCTCTTTCTCTCTCTTTGTTTTTCTTACTATGGATTTTGTTAATAAAAGGAGAAAGGGAGGTTGTGGAGGTTGCTAGCTGTGTGTAGACATATCTAGACATACATACATGTACATACGTCCATGTATGATCTATGTATGTATATGTAAATATATATATATATATATATATATATATATATATATATATATATATATATATATATGTATACGTATACTTGTATGTATGTATGTATGTATGTGTGTATATCATTATGACTGTATATATGAATGCAAGCATGAATACTTATGTAGACACGCACACATAAATGTATGTATTCAGACATGTGTATATATCCACATATACCTTCCCTTATCTCAAATCACAAACACAAAAGCACCTAAAGAAGACGAAATGAAACCTCCACAATAAAATAGGAAACTGAGAATCCGTTTGAGAATTTTGTGTTTCCTTTCTATTGTAAAGGAGTTTCATTTTCATTTTCGTCAGACCTTCTGTGTTTGCGTTTTGAGATAGGGCTGACTATCTCTTTGTTTGTCTGTAAACAAAGAGATAGATGGATACACACACATATATATATACATATGTGTATGTCTATATATGTGTGTGTGTATATATACTCATACGCACACACACACACGCATATATTTATTTATCTATACATATATAGATACGCACATACACACGCATATATATATATTTATTTATACATATATACATACACACATACATGCACACACACTAACACATACATGCACACATACACATATATGTATATATGTACACACACACATGTATATACATATATATGTTCACACACATATACATGTGTGTGTATATATACATATATATAACATACACACAAATATATATGTATACATTTATATACATATAAATATGTATATATACATATACACATACTTATACATACAGATACATTCACACACACACATATATATATATATGTATAAGTATATATGTGTGTGTGTGTGTGTGGGTATATATGCATATTGGAACATACAAATATATATATATACATGTACATATACACCATAATATACATATGTATCCATTCTTTCAGAGCTTTGTTACGGTGGCTAATATGTGCAGTGACTGATGATTTATCGCCACTTCGATTATCATGCTGAGCGAGAAATGAATTTGATTAATACCACAATAGAGGCAGTGGAAATGGGCATAGAATCTGTGTGCGTTTTTTGTTTATTCTTTTCACAACATTATTGGCAGTGTTGTCATCGCTGCTATTGTTATTGTTTTCATTGGTAATATTGTTATTATTGTTATTGCTATTATAGTAGTGGTATTATTATTATTGCTATAGTAGTAGTATCATTATTATATTGATTATTGTTATTATTATTATCATTATTGTTATTATTATTATTATTATTATTATTATTATCATTATCATCATTATCATTATCATTATTATTATTATTGTTATTACTATTATCATTATTATTATTGATGTCATCATTATAATTATATTATTATTATCATTATTTTAACATTATAATTATTATTGTTATCATCATCATTAATATCATTATCATTATCGTTACTGTTATAATTATTTTTATCATTATATTATCATTACTATTATTATTGTTATTATTATTAATATTGTTATATTACTATTATGAATATCATTATTGTTATTACTATTTTTTGTTATCATCATCATCATTATTATTGTAAATGATATTATTATTAATATTATTATTGTCATTATTATTAATATATTGATCATTATTTTTTGTGATAAGTATTATTAATATTATTATTATCCTCATAATCATTATTAGCATTATTAGCACTATTATTATTATCATTATCATTTTATTATTATCATTATTATTAGTAGTAGTAGTAGCAGTAGTAGTAGTATAATTATTATAATTACCATGATTACTGTCTGTCTTTCTATCGGACTGTCTGTCTGTCTGTTTGTTTGTCTGCCGCTCTTTCTCTAATTCTC